GCTCGCGGTCGTTTCACTAAATCCACACATACGAAATTTTGTATCAGGTGACGTAAATAGACGACGAAGGTAAATTACACATTCAAACATTATAATCTCGATATGCGTGTCATGTGAAACATGATTACATGCTACGCTCATAGCATGCTCGCAGGTGTTTCGCTAGCTTCACACATACCAAATTTGGTATCAGGTAATGTGAATAGACGACGAAGGTAAATGACACGTCTAGACATGATAATCAAGATATGCGTGTCATGTGAAACATGATTACATGCTATGCTTATAGTGTGCTCGCGGCCATTTCGGTAGGTCTACGTATATGACCTTCGGTATCACGTCCCGGGAATAAATGAAGAACGTAAATGATACGTCTAGACATGGTAACCATGCTTTACGTTTTATGTGAAACATGATTACATGCTACGCTCATAGTGTGCTCGTGGCCATTTTGCTAGATCCAGATGTACGAAATTCGGCACCGGGTGACGTGAATATACGACGAAGGTAAAATGACACGTCCAAAGATGTTAATCGAGATATGCGTGTCATAAAAACAAGACTACATGCTACGGTCATAGCATGCTCACAGCCGTTTCGCTAGCTCCTCATATATGAAATTTGGTATTATGTGACGTGAGTAGAGGACGAAGGTAAATCACACATTCAGACATGATAATCATGGCAAGTAAGTGATGTACAGCATAATTTACGGCAACCTCGTAACGTTGTTCTCATTTTAAAGTCGCAATTCAGCCTTCCATATTCATGCTTCGCATATCATCGATTCTCATGCTACGTGGGATCTGCCAATTTTTTTGTGGCAGCATTTACAGGGACAGCTGTAAATCCCATCCACAACACCATCTATTGAATGGCTATCGACTGTCAGTTTATAGTCTGATGCATGAGCATGGCGTGCAGCTTTGTGAAAATAAAAAAAGCGATGACTAGGGAGCTACACTTCCTAACGTGACAGCGTTATAGCGTGAGTACCAAGAATACTTTTTTTCCGAGACAAAAAAAAACGCATTTTTACCTATTATTTCACAAAAGAGTCCATGAAGTGACGTTAGGAGCCAAGTTAATTTTGTTATTTGGGTTCGTGACGACGTTGAACCCCGTGACCGAGTGCTGGGAAACAGAAATGCATTCTTTGGACAAGTCATTACTGTATTTCATATTGCTTCAGTAGAACGTTTCTGCGAGGTGTTAAAACAAGCCTTAAACTCGCTCTCCTGGTAATCACGACTGTATTGCTCACTCCTTGCAGGCAGCTTCAGTGCCTTGGGGAGGTTTATTCCACAGGTTCTAGCTTTCTTGGTGCATGGTTTTGAACTCGACAGCGTATACATTTGGCTCTTTGTGCGATTGAGCAAACAATGGTTATCTACGGTAGGTTCATCCTGCCCAATCTTCCCGAATGTAAAGTTCCATTGACCGAAACAAGCGCTGGTGCATCTAATGAACTCCGTTGATTAACACCGCACAGCAAAAAGTTCGGGACGAGCGCCAGCGTAGCAATTCACAAGCAATTTTACACTTTGTCACTTGCAGCCACGATGGTGCTCTAATTATTAAAATATCTTTGAATTAACTATGTGTTGCTGTGTTAATTCAATTTTGTTAGGTTTCACCCCAACCCTGAGCATGCACCACCAGCGAGCACGTTTATTTCTGGTTTGACGGCAATAAATATATAATGAACCAAGCATAGGTAGCTTACAAGCTGTGCAACCTCGGCATCAGTTCATTTCTACGGAGCCACAGCAATTGCGCACGCATCAAGGGGTTCTCGACAGAGCGTTGAGTTATTGCATCCTGCGTTGGAATTTCCGGTAAAAAATTATCACTTACTGCGTTTTAACTGTACTGAAGTCAACATTTACTGCCCGAAGTGATTTATTTAATTGCGTGATCACACCTGCGAAGACGCTACGCCCGTTCTGACACATTCTCGAGCACCAAAACAGCCTGCTTCAATACTTTATTCTCACACAGCCGGAAGCACTCATTTTCTTTGAAGTAACTAACGTAACACATGGCTATCAATTAGTTGTGTAGGTTTTTTTATTGCTTTATGTGATGGATTTCAGGTTTAAGACAAGCCTTTACAAACTACGCTGCAATGTCTCTTCTCTAATGTAATGAGTAATTAACGCATTCCTTATTGTTAGTTTATAATATTTCAATAGAATGGGATCTAGCAGTGGCCCGTAATTTTCGCACAATAGACAAATTTTTCGGAACAGGCTTTAAACAGTACATCAATACCAAAATGACTGCCAATCGTTACTATAAGCAACAGGACTTGCAGTATGTTCATGGTGGATTTTATAATATTATAAAGACAACAAGAAAGCTTTGACTAAAAGTCCAACCTTTTTCTCAATAGTGCAAAAAATGCGGTCGCACTTCCTGAACAACGCCACCTGGATATACACAGGTGCCGTAGTTCAGCATGTCATGCGTTAACATTAAAATTTTACAGAAATCTCAAATACCGTAGTAATAGGGTTCAAAGTTGATATCTTCATACCTAAACACAACATTGCGATAATTCATTCTGCAAGTGTATCTCAACGCTATGTCGAAGTAGCTCGAGTTAGCTAAGAAGCTAAGTTTAGTAAGGAAGACATAAAAATAAATAGTACCTAAACTTCACGAGATCTCTTAATCGAGTAACACTTGAAAGGCAACAAAGAAATGCATTTATTAGCAGCTACAAGAGCGAAAAAGTAGTTATAATGAAAATACCACTGCAACTCTTCCTGCCACATCCTAATGTTTTTTTTTTGCCAAACAATATGAAGCAGCTTAGGTTTACTTCTGGCAATTCAAGGGCGCTGCAACAAAGCAAAAAAAATTGGTATATCCCACGTACCATGGGAATCGATAATATGCGAGGCACAAATGAGGAAGCATGGTATGTCACATTAAAATCGGCACAACGTTACGAGACGGACGTGAGTCACGCTATTCATGACTTCCATGTCATGATTATCATGTTTTCGCTCGACATTTTGGTTCATAGTCCATTCACGTAACGTAATACAAAATTTTGTAAATGTGAAGCTAGTGAAACGGCCGTGAGCGCGCTATGAGTGTAGCATTTAGTCAGGTTTTACATGACACGTATATCATCATTATCATGTTTTGTGGTGCCATTTACCTTCGTCATCTATTCACGTCACTTAATAACAAACTTGGTATATGTGAAGCTATAGCGAAGAGACCGCGAGTGTGCTATGAGCATAGCATGTAGTTTACATGATACGCATATCATCATTATCATGTTTGGACGTGTCATTTACTTCTTCGTCCATTAACGTCACGTAATACGAAATTTGGTGAATGTGAAGCCAGCGAAATGACCGCGAGCGTATCTCTAGCGTGCCAAGTAGTGATGTCCTTACATGGCACGCATGTCGTGATTGTCATGTTTGCACCACTCATATACTTTCGTTATTCGTTCCCATCCTGTTATAACAAAATTAGTGTATGCGACGCCAGTAAAACGACCACAAGCGCATCATGAGCGTGGCATGTAGGCATCTAGCCATGTTCTTACCTGGCACGCATGTCATGATTATCATGTTCGAACCACTCATATACCTTCGTGATTCATTCACGTCACGTAATACCAACTATGGTGCATGTGAAGCTAGCGAAACGACCGCGAGCGCATCATGAGCATGGCAAGTAGTCATGTTCTTACATGACACGCATGTCTTGATTTTCATGAAAGGGCCTGTCACGTGCGTTTACCTTGCAGTAATGTCGTAATATACCTGTTTTGCGATATGTCATGTAAACGAAAAGTCAGTTATGCTCGTCATACATTCATGTTCTGTCATATCAAATTTAAAATAAATCACATTATCCAAATGGCCAGGAGAGCTACTCAACATTTTTGCACAGCGCAAGACTACGAGTAGTTACGACGTAACAACACAAGAAGAGACAAGGACAGAACGAGCGCTGATTTCAGCTGAAACGTTATTACCGAAGGCGCTAAAAATATATACTTTTGGGATACATTCACGTCACGTTGTACCAAAGATGGTGTATGTGAAGCCAGCTAAACGACCACGAGTGCATCGTGAGCGTGGCAAGTAGTCATGTTTTTACATACACGCATGTCAAGATTATAATGTATGCACCACTCATATACCATTGTGATTCATCCACTACACGTTATACAAAATATGATGTATGTGAAGCTAGTGAAACGACCATGTGGTTACATCATAACTACTCGTAGTCTTGCGCTGTGCAAGTATGTTTATTCCCAATCACCAACTAGCCACAGCATTTCTCTCATCAGGAAAGCTAAAAGTCATAGGTGGCTAGAGAGAGAGAGAGAGAAATAGAAGGATAGATAGATAGAAAGATGATAAATACATAGATAGATAGATAGATAGATAGATAGATAGATAGATAGATAGATAGATAGATAGATAGATAGATAGATAGATAGATAGATAGATAGATAGATAGATAGATAGATAGATAGATAGATAGATGCGTTACTATTGTGGGTTTACTTAAAGTTCATAAAAATCACAACTTTTGCATGTCGTTTCAACCTGATCAGGAATATTTCTTTTAAGTTTTATTCCACACCCTGCATAGCGTATGATGACTAAACTGAGGCCATAACTATTGTGCCTAACAAATCACAAAAAGTCAAAACTTTACAGGCACCAGACGCAGGAAACATGGGGATATCAGCCTTGGCACATTGGCTCTACAGCGTGACAGATATTTTCATTGACCTCTAGTTTCAACCCCCGTATCTGGAACAGAGACGTATAGGTGCGCTTGGAGTGCAACCGTACATCATTCGAACAAACACCTGTCTCTGCATGATACGCTTGCACAGAAACTAGCCAATAAAGTCGCAGCAATAGCAATATTTCACTTTCTGCTTTTTATCTAATTATCCTTGCGATTATTATGGTGCAAAGTTACTATGACGTCGCAGAGTGACGCACATTTTCTGCAGTTTTCCTGTACAAAACAGTTTAAATACGCTCACACTAACGGCTACACCACAAGTTTCTCTTCATCACTTGAAGACGAGTGATAGTAAGTACTACTGAATTTGTTTTACTTATAGGCGAGGTCTTCCAGCTCTGTTAAGTGCATTATTCAGGAGTTAAGGACATTGTAAACGAAGCTAAGCTTCTCCTATGAAATCATCTGTACAACAGGAGTAAGCTACTTGCTATTCTCGACCAGACGCACTAATGTGAAGTGCTGAAATTTAATCTTGTCTGAGGAAAACCCCAGTGAAGCTAATGATGTTCAATAACACTCGATGCGTATATCATGAAAATTCCGAAGAGCACATGGTCATAGTTGTGTCCGAAAGCATTGTTTTGTCAATTTGAAATTGTTAGTATAGCTGCATTTCTCCATCTTTGTTTTTACAGATCTCCTCCGGACCCAAGGATGAATGCCAAAGCCATGCTGATTGCTCTCGTGGCTTGCGCCTTATTAGTAGCCAGTGAGTGTGACTTTTTACAATCTTGATTCAAGCTACACAGCTGGAGTATATATACATGTGACACGTAAAACATTATGTTAGTGTGGTCGCCTAAACAATGCATTTAATGTGCATACCATTGGCAGATGACATATTAGACAAGGAAACTAGTTATGTAGGCGGCCTCATCCAACTGAAAAGCCTAAATGTTTTAAGCATGGAATCATTTTATTTTGGAATAATAGAAGAAATTTTACACGGGAATTGTCTGAGTACCCCAAATGCCCAATAATAAATATTTATATACGACGAATAGTCATAGAAACACAAAGTCTCATCTACGTTTTGGTAGGTTTGGTTAAACTATGTTCATTGTGGGACTCCGCGCCTTAGCATACTGATACAGACGTTGGATGTACAGAATTAGTAAAACTGTGTTATTTCAGTTGCTTAGGACCGCAAAAAGAAGTGCGTCTGAAGAATTGCGCATTGCCACTTCGTACTTACATAATGTAAATGACTTCTAGTAGCACTCTCTAATACAGGATTTTAGGATAATCACACATGATGCATGATCCAAATAGGCGTTTCTTCGTACAGACTCGAGTCCACAAGTATTTGTCATGTTCCTTTTCTAGTTACGGCCCCTTTGCAGTGAATCACAGTGTTGTATTATTTCACAATCTATCGATAGGTAAAAGCTAATAATACTGATTGCCTTCTATGCCATAGCGGTAATGATGTATTTTTGGAATCAGACGACTGGCTTGGTCAAGCTCTTAAGATCATCACCGTTCTTGCACAATACAATACACCTTATTGCAATACAGCTTATACACCTTATACACCCTGCAATACACCTTATTTAAACCCAAACAACTGAATGATCTGCATGCATTTCCTGCCGATGGCTTCATTTTTTACAGTAGTTTAGTGTACAACAGATAACACTAGAGAAGAAAACAATTACGCTCGCATTCGGTTCTCACACTAACGATATAGGGCAGTACATATTGATTACCTGTGTCAATGACTCGTAAAGTGCGCATTGAAGAATGTTCATTGCGCTTTGACGGCTCGACATAGTACTGAGCTTAATAGGTGGGTGACCAATAAGGCTTGCCATCTTCGCAGATAATGGAGCATCTCTTCGAGTCAATGCGTGTGTTATATATGTGCTCTAGGAAGTCTAGGAACGCGTGATACACATTTCCGTCGGCATAGAAGCACGAGCAGGGTGTACACGATTCACGCCGAATGCTGTCTTAAAATTCTTCATCTAAACGAGGCCGGCCTAGACAGAACAAATTAAGGAAAAACTGTGAGGGCTAACAAGGTTGTGAGTACTCAAAGTGTAGGTGTATAGCTAATTGCTACCAGAATTTCACCGACACCGCAGTGGCGAAGAATTAGTCTCATCGATCATATTTATTGAAAGCTTTGCGACGGGCGGCTAGCTAATTGTGCCCTTGATAATACTTTGCTGTACATTGGTACACACGCAGACACTGTTTCTTAGTGAAAACAATTTGAACACCACATGCAGTATTTGTATACGTTATTTTTTACTTTCGCCAAATTTAGGCACCGAGGCGTGCGGCGGCGAAGGCCGCTCCGAGTCTGGTCGCTGCGGTGGCAGCGAAGGGCGCAGCGAGCACGGGAAGCCGAGGCACGCCAGGAGAGCGAGGCTGCCCGCTGCGGTGGATCTTCTGGTCGTTGCGATGGCTAGTTCTGCCATAAGAAACCTTATCAACGTGCCTTCATGGCCGTTTGCTGAAGATATTGTTGTTGGAGCAAGAGCGATCTTGATCATGAGCGCTTGAAAGTATTGTCAGACCTAATAAAGGTGTTCAAGCTTGCCTATATTCGATTCTCCCACGGTGTGCCACCCACATCAACATGCTTCTTTTTTTGTCTTGTTCAATTGCGTGAGATATGTATCACCACCGTAGAGCCAAATTTTTATGGCGCCTGAATTTCAAGCCAGTTTTCTAAGCAGTTCAATTCTATTTCACGTGTTTACTATCCGGGGTAGAATATGAGTCATTACCGGCAGGATGCATTTACCTAAAAGGGCTTGATTCACGATCACGATGCCCCGAGAGCAGCCCTGGACACTATTGACTAAATGTGGCGTAATAACAAGGTGTGCGCTTTAAGTGATTTACATACTTCTACCTCTTTATTGCTTATTGTAAACACCTCAAGTATCGCTGTATGGTGCCTCTCACAATAGTTTTCAAGTAGGGTGACGTCAAAAATACGGGGGATGCATACGCATTTGCCGCAGTGTAACGCGATTTTGCCTCGCAAAGCAGTTTCTAAAGAACTAGCCTGTTCTCGCAACCGACCACTGATCTATTGTGACATCTGTCCCATATTCACCTTTCCGCATGAACATCTAAGTGCACAAGCGATGCAAGTCGCTCACTTGGTGGAGGGCTTACTGTATAGGTAGGAACACATAGAAATTACTTTTTTTCCTTCGCCTTCATGGCGTGACACATGCAACCCAGGTAATCGGCGCAGTGAATACTATGTGAACCCCGCACGTCGTGCGACTATATTAATGCGATCAAATGCGCCGTGGACGTGAGGGGTGCTTGCGTCACTGCGGTATATTGCCCTATTTTTCGAACTACTCGTCCATTTCCTCCGCCAGCACCATTATTCGCGAATGGGCCTAGTAGAAATCTTGGGCTACCGGTGGCTGTCAGTGTCTCTATTGGGCATGAAAAGCTGGGATAAACCTAGCTTGGTTACGAACTGAATAAATAACTTCGCGTGGTGGATTGTACAATGCCTGTATTAGCATCTTTGATTGAGCTGACTCAAAATGCAACAGGCTCTTTTTCGAGCGAGGCAAATATTCTCAACAAGGATTGTCAGTTCGCCAAGGGCAAAAAAAAAAACAGGTGAAAGAAATATAGCATATGCACGGAGTGCATGATGATGAGTGTCGCAAAGCGTCCGTCAGTCAGATCGTGGTTTCGTCCGTCCGCCCATGTGTCTGTTTGTGCGATGGTCCATGCGTCCATCCGTCCGTCCGTTCTTGCGTCCGTCTGTGCGTCAGTCTGTGCATCAGTGCTTCAAGTGGCTACCTACTGCTACTACGACAATGACTAATACTGCTACTACACATATCGTGGACGCATGACCCACAGTTAATGGGCTTCGCCCCTAAAACTCTCCATACAGTATTCGCAGAGCCCACCAAGATGGGTCGCATGCGTCGCCTTGTGATTGAAAAAAAAATCAAGTTACGCGTGGTCCTAGCAACTTAAAATGCCCTTCTTCAGTTATGCGACTGGCTTTGTTTATGAGATTCGACGTTCGTGCAGATAAGTTTATGTGGGACAGGCTGTGTGGTGCATCAATTGTCGGTGGCAAGGACATGCTAATATTAAAAAAAAACGTGCGTTAGAAGTAATCTCGCAGTAAATCATAAAAACACTTGTAAAGGCGAAGCTCCTTAAGCCGTGGGTCGTGCGTTCGCGATGTATGTAGTAGTAGTAATAGTAGTAGTCATCGTAGTAGTAGGTAGCCACATGTGCGGCCGGACTAGAGGAGTGGCACGCCCGCTCCTTTTTATAACTGGGGATGAAACCCGCACACGTTAATCATACATAAAAAGATAGTTGTTTCTTATGAAATAATACCTGTAGAGGCAAGTATTGGTGACCTAATCTCGACTAAAATTTGCCTTAAAATTGTTGCTTACTAAATAATTAGTAGTAGAAGGACGCACTTTGGGCCCTATCCGACCAGAAAATGTTGGCACGGTAAACTCGCTGGCCATAACGTCCTTGGTTTTAGCAAGGTTTAGGGAGGGTAGGGCTGCAGTGCCATGTACTAGCGGCGGTAAAAGGTGAGAGCTTGTCAATAAGCGCCGGCCAAAAGAGTGTGCGCGCGTGCCGCTCTTCTAGTCCACCTCTTGTTTAGTCCTTGAAATGTCCGCTGGATGGCGGTACTTCTATATGATGAGTATATGATAAAAAGATGCGAGATGGTAGTATTCACTAGTCGACGGACGGATGCACAGACGCATGAATGAACAGACAGATTGGTGCATGGATGGACGCACAAACAGACGCGTGGATGGACGGACACATGGACAAATGCACGAACAGACGGACGGGTGGATGCACGAACGGTCACTCTGACGAACGCATAGACGGACGGAAGCAAAAATGAACGGACGGATGGAAGCACGGACGAACTGATGGACGCTTCGCCCCTTTCATCTTGATGCACTCCGTAAATATGTTCAGATTTTTTTGTTCAAAGCACACACATTTTCTCTTTTGTAATCTTCTAATGTAAATATTAACCAGTCTGAAAAATATCAGTTTGAAGTTTCTGACTAATTTATTGTCTCTCGCTAGAAGGTGATTTCAGAAGCTCTAAAAAGTTTGTCGGGACTTTAGAGTTTTCTCGAGCTGAAACCGCTTATGTAATTGTACCTCTGTTTGGCAACATTCGACCACACTGTTAGTGTACCGGTGCGTTATTATCTCTCACAATCTTGAACCTCGTCTGTGTGTCGGAATTTTTCTTCAACGGGGCCTCATCAAGTTTGAGGCCCATGGCACGGCTGTATGCTCTCCTATGGTAGAGTACCTATTACTCTAAGTCGTTACCCACTTTTTCTATACACTCGCTGAAGCAGCATCCGTGCAAGCGTGTGGTTTTCATAACTCCATGTTAGCCCACTGTATGCCTTTATGTTTTTCCATAGTACAGTATCAAGTACTCTAAAACGTTAACAACTTTTTCGTAACACACCAGGACGGCTCACTGCTCTACCATTGTTGTTGAGTACGAAGTACTCGAAATCACTAAACACTTTTAGGGGTGAAGCTCCCCAAAGCATGGGTCGTGCCTCTCGTGTGTAAGTAGCCACCTCTCGTTTTAGGTCCTGCAATGGCCACTGAATGGTGGTACATGTATATGATGAATATATGATGAAAAGATGCGAGATGGTGGTGCTTGGAGTTTTCACTAGATGGACAGAGGAACTGGCGAACGGATGGACTGATGGACAGACATACAGGCAGACGGATTTTCAGACAGACACAAACAGAAGGACGAAAAAACGGATGGGAGGACACGTGGACAGACGGACAGATGGACACACGTACGGACGGAGGCATGGAACAACCGACGGACAAAATCATGAACGAACATACGGACTGAAGCACGGATGAACGGACCGACGAAAGCACGGACGGATGAACGGCGGCTTCGCTCCACTCATCATCATTCACTCCTTAGATAGGTGAATTTATTTCTGAACACATTACTTGTTTACGTTGTATCGTTCCTTTATGAACAAATCTGGTGTGCAATAGAACATCCCTTGTTGAACTACTAGTTCTCCAAACATTGTTTTAGTATGACAGCTATTATACGATTTCGTCTCAGTTTTGCCTGCGCCTTTTGGCTCTGCTGTCGTGCTCTCTGTCTTGATATATATATATATATATATATATATATATATGTATGTATATATTTATGCCAGAACAAAAAATTGCCCTCAGCTTCCCTCGGGGGAACACTGAGGAGGATGCGGAGCATATAATTGGTTAACGTGGTTGTGAAATGGGGTGTTAAATTGCGACTTACTTGGGTCGATGGCTAAATTGGTTAACGTGGTTGTAGGAGGGGGTGTTAAATGAGTGAACACGTGCACACGTATGCGAAAGGGCGGCGCTGGTCGAAGGGACGTCGATCATTGTGTTTGTGGATTCGTTGGAATTCATTTCACCGCGACCTTGGACGTCGACGCGCCGTACAAACCAACCGACGAGCGGCAACTGAGCGAGCGAGCGCCGACCTTGAGTATATATACAGCTCGACGGCGCATGCACTGTCAGCTGTTGAATGTTCTCGAAGCGCGACGCCACATGCGCGTCCACTGGAGAATCAGGAGAATTGTAGATGTCGAACGTGGTGTGTAGAGGAGGAAGGGTGCACAGATGGTGGAGGAGTGAAGCACGCGCGGTGTGTAGAGGAGGAAGGGATGCACAGATGGTGGAAGAGTGGGCGACGGCGCGACGGCGCATGCGCGCGCGTCAGCTGTCGAATGTTCGAGAAGCGGTGCGGACGGCGCGGACGGCGCGGACGGCGCACTACAAGGCGCGAGTGTAAGATGCTCCACATCTAAAAGTGATTTAGAGGATTGTCTTCCGACGTGAGGAATAATCGAACGGGCCACTTCTCGCTCCACAGTGAGCGGTGTTAGCCACTGAGTCACGAGAGCGCACGTCCTCCGCTGTTGTAACGGCGATGTACGGTGCAAATGTTTATGAAAAGAAATACGAGGACGCGCAGCCTGCGCGCTCTGGTGGCTGCTGGCAGCGCGTTCAAGTGGGAGTGGAAGCAACCACCGCCTAATTTTGCGCCATTACGAGGCGAGTAAAACAATCAGTCACTGGTGATACTGATATAAAATCAGCGGTAAGACTGTAACCACGTCACCCTTCAAGACAATTACGCGACAGGCCACTTGTAGCCTTGAAGGGTGACGGGGTGGTGGTTTCTTATCACCATTGACTGCTAATTTCACTTCCCTCAAGTTGACGTGGGAAGAGGCTGTGGTTGCTTTCGCTCCGACTTGAACAAGTTTCCTGCTGCAGCCGCTGTAGCGTGTAGGCCACGCCTTCCCGTGTTATGTTTCATAAGGAGGAAAGGGGGAGGAGGAAAGTTTAAGCGGAAGGACAGGAAGGCTAGCCAGTTCTTAGACCAGCTGGCTATCAGCTGTTCTGGAGTAAGAGGTGAGGAGAATAAAAGATAATAAAAGGAAATGTTGCAACGAGAGAGAGAGAGAAAATACAAAAAAATAGCGACAGAGGAAAGGTGAC